CATCCAGCCCCGTCAGCGGCGGCGGCGGCGGCGGCGGCGACAACGGCAGCAGCAGGTGAATGCGCCCAGGGCGCCTGCGCGGCCGACGTGGAGCTGGCCAAGAGCTTGCTACGGGGCGCCGCGGTGGACAATATGGAAGCGGTGTGGGTGGACGCGTGTGCACGCTCGCTCGCACAGTGATGGGATCCTGCACTGACGCCGGCCGGGATCAGGGCGCTGTATAGTCAAATGGGGAGCATCTCACCACAGGGCAACAAAGTGAAGAAGGCTGGGGTGAGAGAGGAGGGAGCCAGGAGTGTGTTCAGTGTCGGTTGGCACAATTACTGCTAGAATTCTCTCAAGAGCTTTGGTTGGTTGGTTGGTTGGTTGGTTGGTTGATTTTAAGAGAAGATCTGAAGCCGACGATGTAGATAGCCTGGCATATGCTGGAGAGCTTGGTTCTATCCTCAGCGCCGCACAAATTGGGTGTGACAGTGTATACCTGTAACCCCAGCATCCAGGGTAGAGGCAGTAAATTCAAGGTCATTTTTGACTATTTAACAATTTTAAGGCCAGTTTGAGCTACAAAGAGGCGCTGCCTCAAAAATAAACTATTTGACCTTGTTGAATAGACCGATATTGAATTTACGACATAAGGTGATTTTCCTACCTCCAGAGTAGCTGAGGCCCACAGGTACACAGTTTTCTACTACCTGGTCAGAATTATCAGCCTTTAGTGTTTATTTATTTGTGACTGCACTCCAGAGGAGCCGTCTTAAGACTCCTACGCTTGCACAACATGAAGTATCTCTGTGACCTCTGCTTGCCATGACCCATGTGAAATTTCGCAACAACACTCTGGGTTCTGCACCAGCTACTACCTGAATGTCTTCCATCGGTTCTGATACTCTGCAAAGTACATTAAGATCTGGGCAGGGTGACAACACACACCTTTAATCCCAGAGCTTGGAAAGCAGAAGATGTTTGATCTCTGTGAGTTCCAGACAAGCCAGCTAGGGCACCACTACATAGTGAGATCCTTACTCAGGCAGAGAGAGAAAGACAAGGGGGTGGGGGTGGGGTGAGAAGAGAGAAGAGAGAATACCAGATATCACAAGTTGAGGCCTCAGTCCCCAGGTGGTTTGACTTGTGTTTCTGACCTACTGGCTATTATGGAGGCTCCTGGGATCCCCTACTGATGATGTTTGATAGATTTATTGGAACAGCACACAGAACTTAAGGAAATGCTTTGCTTACATTTACCATTTCTATATAAATGGATTCCCAGCACCCACATGCTGATTCACAACCCTCTGTAACCCCAGTTCCAGGGCCTCTAATGCCCTCTTATGACCTCTGAGGACAGCAGTTATGCACATGGTTCACAGTCAGGAATGCAGGCAAAAGCTATATGCTACAAACATCTAAACAATCTTACTCTAAATGGAGAAAAACAAGAAACGTTATCTGTAGTCAGGAGTGCAACTTCTATGGGGGTGGAGGGGGGAGCACACCCCACTTCTATGCTGGGGGCCGCTCTTCATCCACTTCTACGCGGGAGGGGGGCTCTCCATCCACTTCTATGCGGGGGGGGGCCTTTTCCATCCACTTCTATGCATTTTTTTTCCCCCGCATTGCCTTGTATTCAGTGGGGGGGGGGCTCTCTCCATCTACTTCAATGCAGTGGGGGGCGCTCTCCATCCATTTCTATGCTGCGGAGGGGGGTGCTCGCCATCCACTTCTATACTGGTGGGGCACTCTCCAATCACTTTTATGCCTTGGGGCCGGGGGAGCACTCTCCATCCACTTCTAAGTGGCACGGCACTAAGAGAAGAGAAATAAAAGGGATTCAGGCAGGAAAGGAAGAAGTCAAATTTCCCTTATTTGCAGACGATATGATCTGTACTTGAGACCCTAAAGACTCTATCTGAACTCAAATTGAAGAAATACTTCCAACCAAGTCGCTAGATATAAAATGAACATCTAGGGTCTAGTGAGAGGGCTCAGAGGTTAGG